ATATAGATTACAGAAATGTTATATTGTAATGTTATATATATATATATATATATATATATATATTTATTATTATTTTTTTCATAAACCATATCAATATCTATGAAAAACACCTATACTTAGATTTTGGTGTGCTTCTGTACACTTAACCTAAGTTTTGCGTGCTCAGTCTAGTGGGACTATGGCTTTTTTTGTACGATTCTGTTCACAAAGCAACACAAAACTCATGTAAGAGTTAAACTAAAAAAATATAAATAAATAAATAACATAATAAAATAAAATAATATAATGTATACTTGTCTTGTTTTAGATCAGTATTATATATAAAAAATTTGTTAGAATATTAAGACGTTAATTCAATATTTTATACTTATGGATTTTTTTTTACATGTAAATCTAAATGTTTAAATCTAATATGTAAATCTAGTTTACGTATTTTTTTTTAAATTATGTAATATACATTTGTAACACTATATTATTTTTTTTTTTTTTTTTTTTTTTTTTACATGGGTAACTTAAATGGTACGGCGCCACAAAACTTATGCAAACTACAGACAACACAAGCTAACCTTGAATGAAAAAAAAGTAAAATTTCTTAATATGGGCACAATGAAAATTGTCTGCTAATGTGTATCGTTTGTTTTCAGTGAGAAAATTACAAATAAGAGAAAAAACCTGTCCAAAAACTGTAGAGGCATGTCGCCTTTACCATGAGGGTATACAGGGGGAAAAAGTCTAGCAAAACAGTTTGGAGTGGACAGAAAGTCGATGAGGAAGTGAGTGAATCTCAAGATCAGGATTGATGCTCATCCGGGACAGGAGACCTTCCTCAGTTCAGCGGTAGAGAGCAAGATTTCAGAGTGTCTTCAAGTAGACTGTAAGCAAGAAGCTAGATTATGTTATATAGACTAAGTGTAAAATGAAAGAAGGAAAAATGTGAGGTTGTGAGAGGATCTAACAGTGGCTAATGTGTCTTTTTACAATCTTTACAGATAATGAAATGTTCTGCTTTGCATACTGTATGTTTTTCATGTTGAATGTTATTGGTACAGGTAGCGCTATAGCAAACATAAGTAAAATTATTTTTTTTAAATACTTCCGTCACTGAATAAATATATTAATTTTTTACTTCTTTAAAATTAATATATATATATTGTGAATAAATTATGATGTGGGCTTATTTGGAACACATGCGAGCTTAAATGGTGCCAAAGTACCAATTAAGACCATGCCAGACCTTTGACTTTATTCATAAAATATCTTAACTTTGTATTCTAAATGTACATCAACTAATTAATACATTTTCAGATGAGAGCTAAATCTTGCATTTTAACAAATTTATATATATATATATATATATATATATATTTATTATTATTTTTTTCATAAACCATATCAATATCTATGAAAAACACCTATACTTAGATTTTGGTGTGCTTCTGTACACTTAACCTAAGTTATCTTTGCCGTATTTAAAGGTGGTTTACATATTAGGTATTGAGTTCAGTGTCTGGAGAGTTTACAGTTTTCAATTAAATTTTAACATTTACAAGGCCTATTGTAAGAAGTTGAACTGTAGCTTTTCACAAAACACATTTTCATTTTTGTATTTTTTATGGAGAAGGAGCAGACTGCTGATTACTATTGAGTGATAAAAATGTGTAAAGATGAAAACGAAATAAAGTTACTAAATATTGTTTACAAGTTTTTTTGATCTCTGAATTTTGTTATTTTTAGTGAGCCAACACATGGACTGCATACATTAAAACATAACCTATTATAGAGAGTTCATAAGGGGCATTACATGAAGGACCACCCACATTTGACAATTCAAAACAAACAAACAAACAAACAAAAAGAAATCAAATCTCACTGCTTGCTTCCCCTCGAGGAGCAGGATGACATTGAAAAGGGGAAAAGGAGGGGTGAGGGAGTCTAGTCTCTTTCAAACTTCCGGGCGGGAACTTCCGGTCGCGGCGAGTCGAATTCCTGCTAGCTAAAGACACATGATGGGAAACTGAATGCTGTACGCGCTCCTGGAGTTTGACTGCGAAAAGTACAGTAATCTTACATGTGGTTGAGACGATGGAGTCCAAAATAAAATAACAGAGGTGACTGAAGCACCAAGCCTCAGGTATGTGAGCTCACGAGACGATATTGACTAGAATGTCGTGATTACTCAGTTTTGTACTTTATAATGGTGAGAGTAGTTCTGCTCTACCTGGCTAACGGTTGCAAGCCGTTAAATGTTCGATACGGAACCAAGTACTGCGATCTTTCATGCTACGTCCACAACATAGACACGTCTAATTTATATTCGTGCGTGTGGTGGCTATACGCTGCTCTTTTTTCATTTTAAACGGTAACCTAGAAAGTTAAATGTTACACGGTTTGATCAAAATAGGCGAGCCTTTGCTTGCTGTCGTTCAGCCTCCTTGGCGGCGGAAGTAGGTGGAACATGAGATAATTTCGACTAATCAGGATCGCCGACAAAATTATTGACAGCGCTTACAACCAATAGGATTTCCGCAAATTTCCTGTGGCGCTTGCAATGAATCTTTAATGCGGTTTCGTCTTATTCCGGTGCACATTTGTCTATGCATCTGACAAGACTGGCTGGAACACAGACGGGTAGCGCTATGTTGTTCAATGTGAGATTAAAACAGCTGGTCTGCTCCTATTTTGGGTTTTTGCTGTTTTTAGTAGGACTCCATCAAGCCGAAGGAGCCGCAACAGAAATGGCAAACCTGAACTGGAAGCCGTTTGTCTTTGGGGGAATGGCCTCAATTGTCGCAGAATTCGGTGAGTCTGTGCACCTGCTGTTTTTACATCATCATTATCATCTATTACAGATCACTTCTTCATTAAAAGGTATTAATACAAGCTATTATCTCAAATGGAAGTGCCATAATGCATATTATTATTTGAGAGAGAATATAGATATTTTTATTTTTTTATTTTTTTACAGGTCGTTAACTGGATATTTTTGTGTACATGTCTAATAACTTAAATATTGAAACGTGTTTCTGCTTTTTGACACAATTAAAAGTAAATAATCATTAGGCGTCAACAATAAAATGTATGCATTATAAAAAAAAATTTATTAGTAACATTATTATGTTATATCATTATTATTACTATTTGTTAGTACTATTAATAGTTGTTGTACTGAAATATACTCTTTTATATAGATTTGTACAACTTTAACAATTGAATCACAATCATTGTATTTGCCACATGGAGGGACTGAAATGAACCTTGATTGTTAAAGCAAGAGCGCTCTTGTTCAACATAACATTGCAGAACATGAAAATCAACATTCCGAAATGGGGTGGGACATTAGAAATGAAATATATGATACAATATATATTCACAACCGAAGCTGCTAATAGATGAAGTACTAGTATACTTAAAGTATATACGATTTTATTATTAAATCACCTTTTATCATTTGATAATTAAATCTTGCAGGTACGTTTCCCATTGATCTCACAAAAACACGGCTCCAGGTTCAAGGGCAGACGCACTGTATGGAGGTCCGATATCGGGGCATGTTCCACGCTTTGTTGAGGATTGGCCGCGAAGAAGGCATCCGGGCATTGTACTCTGGGTGAGTGCAGATTACTTGAATATTCTGAATGACAACAAATGCTTCATTTGCGTTGGAGCATTTTTGTTTTACTTTAGCATCAGTGTTATTGTGTTTAACTTTCTGAAGATCATGGTTGTGTTCCTTTATAAAGGCATATTTGCAACCCATGCAATGGTTCAAGGGTTTTAAATACAGCTGATAGCTGTAATAAACTCTAAATATAGATGATATTTATTTCACATGGTCTGCATGGGTCTGTAGAGGAGCTGAGTCAAGTGAAACTGGCCCACTGCTTTGGCATGAGCAGACTGCAGTCGTTTGAGTTTAGCTTAGTCGTGTTGTCTATGTCACTGAGCATTTTGTTTTTCAAACCATTATCTCGCATATTAATGTGCTGTTTCTTTTTCTGGCCAGAAGCTTACAGTTAGTAAGTTTCTGTCATTTTCTATCATTTTCTTTTTTAAATGCTTTTAGGTCTGTGCATTCATGATTATTTATATAAATTTGGTTAGCATTTCAACTTTTGATTGAACTTTGATTTGTGAACGATTCTTTTCAGTGAACCTGTTGAATCGGTTTGCAAATCTTACAGGATGATTCATTCGTGAATTGGACTCATCCAATCTCAGCTGTTCCTGAGTCAAAAAGAGCGAGTCTCCAGGGTTACTTTAGGGTTCAGGGTTCATTAGTCTTAAGGGTTACTTGATTATTACAGGCAGGTTTGCTGGAGCAGGATTGGAACTGAATTTACAGGATGGACGGTTGGAGATTCACCACTGTTCACAACACTTTGGCATTGTGGCAGCATTTTGCACGGGTAGGCTGGGCGCCATCTTTTAAAAAAAATCTAATTCTAGTTCTAAATGTATGTAAGTAAAATCTTGTCCTTTTTTAAAGTGTTGTAATTTTGTGACTGTAGTACTGTAAAAAAAGTATTTGAATATGCAGGATATTTGTTATTTGTTATAATTATGAAATGGGACGATGCTGTAGTTGTCTAGCAAAGATATTTCCATTAAGAAAATAAATAAATACATTTCACATGTCCTGCTTTTCTTGTGAAAGAAACTATGGTGAAATGTCCTACTGTTGAACCTCTTTGCACAAAACTTTGCATATATGCTTTGCATGATTTTGTCTTTGTCTTCTCAGTACAGCTTTGTGAATAAGAAAACATTTGACAAATGTTTGATGATGTGCAAACTTCAATGTTTTCTAACACTGACAGTGACCATTTCATGCTGTTCTCTATTTAGATTATTCTGAGAAAACAGCAATGGCTAATCATTCAAGCTTTATGTTAATCCCTACATTAATAAATGTGCTTGTTAGTCATTGCATGGACTTGTGATGTGTTATAGTCTGTCATTTAAACATTTATCTATTTAGATTTACATTAACCTCAGTATGGAAATAAAGCATTGACCTTGAAGTTGTGTTTTTTGTTTTTGTTTTTTTATTCACAGAATTTCACCTGCACTCCTCCGACAAGCTTCCTATCATTTAAACACTAATCTATTTAGATTTTCATTAACCCCAGTATGGACATAAAGCATTGACCTTGAAGTTGTGTGCTTTTTATTCACAGAATTTCACCTGCACTCCTCCGACAAGCTTCCTACGGGACAATCAAGATCGGTACATACAACACATTGAAGAAACTGATTGTTAGTCATCCAGAAGGTGGGTTTATGGGATGAATGCTTTGATACGGTTCATGTTGTGCAAGATCTTTTCCATACAACATTACATTATGAGAATAGAACATCATGTTTGCCACTTGTTGTTGATATCTTCAATGAAATGACATGAGTATCTAACTCTCATCTAAGTATTATCAGTCATGGTCTTGAAATCATATGTTTGACTCACTGAACCAGTTTTGTAAGGGTAGCTGTCCTGAAATTTGACCATTTTATTTGGATTTCGCAATCATTGACGTCTAGACATATCTGATTTAACTTTAACAAACTGTATTCATTAGATGATAACCTAATGTATGACTATAAACAGAAGCTCTATGAGATAGGGAGTGAAATGTCTCTGGAGAATTATCTACGCCTTAATGTGTTGCGTGAAATAGACTAGTCACTACCATGTCAGACAGCATGGTGTAAACATGTTGCACACATCCACTCACATTTGCTTTGTAACAAAATCGAATAAGCTTCCCAAAGAGGCAAAACGTATAGCACATTTTTGTCAGCATCACATTAATCTTTTAAGTATGAGGCCATTATTAATATTTGTGAGAGCAAATGCGTGATTAGCATGCATAGATTAGATTAGAGTAGCAATACTGTTAACAGACTCTACCCAAATCAATGTTGAGCATTAGTCTAGTATTCATTTAGTTGCCATGATTGAGTAGTGTTTGTATGGATACGCATTAGTAATTGTTAATAGTTGCCTATGATCACATTTCAGATCAGCCACTTGTAAGAATACATTTTAATTAGCCACCTAACACTGTGCCGTAACTACAACTAGGCATGTTGCTATAGAGAACAATAAATTCTGTCTCTTATGGGCTAATTTCAGTTTGTCCTAACCAGCTGTTATCACAATGAGTGTCACAATGTTTGTTTCTATTTCTATGCCGTTGCGATGAGTAGTTCTTCTCACAGTGACTTTGTTTGGATCAAGATCCTGTTCCACAAATTTGTTCTATGGGCACTGAAATTTTTTCCGGCTTCTCACTAGGGTTGTGACGGTGAGGAAATTTTCCCACCGGTTAATCGACGTGTGACAATACCGGAATCACCGTGGGAGCGGGGGCGTTCCCGCTTTTCCTTGCTTTCCTTCGCTTTTAAATAGCTTGTAAAAGCGGCGTGCGCATTTTACTTTCACTTTCGAATTAGCGGCAGTTCGGCGCCAATTGCTTGAAAATGAAATCTGATCTGTGATGCGACTGTCGTTCGGCACGCTGCATTGAGCAGCCGCGTTCAGTTTTTAATTGTAGTGTCTGTTCTTTTACTGAACTCAATGATTTTTATTACTATATGCTACGGTGGGCAAGTGACGTTAACCGGTGTTGCGGCTTAACGGTATCACCGTCAGCACCGTCTATCGCGGCAAGCCTACTTCTCACTTTACTGCACAAATAACTCATCAATTTGTATAGTGATTAGGGCTACAATTGAGATGAATGGTAAGAAATGTAATGATTTTCATTAGGATTCTCTTACAATTCTGGTTTCTTAACTATTCCCTCGATGAGAAACATTTTTCAAGAACAAATGAAATTTCAGATTTTAGCAGAACAGATTTTACGAATCAGAAATACATACGTTTTTGTGGGTTCTACAAAAAGACTTTTGGTAACGCTTTCTATGAAGCCCATATTTATAATACATTATAAGGGGTATTAAGGCATTAATATTAAGGCACTATAATGAATGAATAATGCATTATAAAAAACCTTATAATATGTTGTATCATCTCATAAATAATCATAAGAACAGTTTTAATGTATTATAATACTGATTTGTGGTTATAGCTTTTAAGAGTTTGATGATTTATAACACACAATGAACATGTTGTATCCACTTGACTTACGTTACAATGAATTATATTTCCCATAGTTATAATGTATTATAAGGTCTCATATCTTGCCATTGTTTAAGATCTGCACAATAACTTGGTGCATCTTATTAGTGTTTTTACTGTAAAATGACAAATACAAATTCTTCATGAAAACATCTTGAACATCTCAACATGAAAAAAAAAAAGGCTTTTTAATGCGGTCTTATGATTTATAAGTGGTCTGTCTACTTTAAGTAAAGTAACTTCACTTTACTTAAAGCAGACAAAGACCACTTATAAATAATAATAATTTTTTTTTCTCAAACAGCAGATCAGATGAATGTGTTCACATTTGCTTTGAACTATTTTTATTATAATATCAGTATGGTTTTGATGGTACCCTTTAGACAACTGTTGATAAGTAACTTTGCAACTACATGTCAACTAGCATTGGAGTATTAGTAGTATGTCTGCTAAATATCTGCTTCCCCAACAGACAGTTAACTGACTATAGGCAACTTTGCAAGTACGTCAACTTATTCTACCAACCTTAACCTAAGTCTACCAATACTCTAAATGAGAGTTAGTTGGCATGTAGTTGCAAAGTTGCTTATAGTCAATAGACTAAGGTAGGGCCGGGTGATAATTCGATAATGATAATTATCGCGATATAATTTTCCTCGATAAAACGATATGAATAGTTCGATAAATGTTCGATATAATGTTTATGCGCCAAAAGCGGAACGAAACGGCGCAACTCATTTGAATCGCGCCACACGGAACGTTTATCCGCTCGGATCAAAGTTCAAACTGCCGCGTGGCGCGAGCTCCCTAGAGCAGATGCGTTTACAAGGTCACGCGAGCACTAAACAGCGCTGTGAGATCCAGTGTGAAGTGCTTGAATTCAACGATGAACACAAATGACTCGGTGATTTAAACTAGTTTAAAGTCAAACAGGAGAAACACTGTGTGCAACGAGACACTCAGAAGGCTTTTCAATCTACACATCGCCATCATTTACCATGGATTTACTGTAGTAACACTCACTGCACCATGGTATTGTGGCAGAAATGTGGGATATTCACGTTGAATTTTATTACAGGAGTAATGGTATATAATTATAGTATGTATTTGTCATTAAGCTATAGCATGTGTGCATTTATACTGAATATTTTTAGACTACTGTTTTTAATACAAGTAGGCTACTTAAAAACCACATAGTTATATTTTTACCATGGTATTGAGGTGCTATGAGCTACTATCAAATGTGTATTTCTAAGAGACAAAAAAGTGATATTATTATTATTATTATTAATGTTATCAGGCAACCCAAACCTGTTTCTTGATTTGAAACGATATCACTCATTAGAACATGCAGAAACTAAGAAATTAATTTTTCTATTTAGATATTTATTTTGTTAAGGAAAATTAATGGTCTGGTTTCTACAACTTTCACTTTGGAGCAAAAATCTGGCTTTAAACTTGAAAGAAATAAAGATTTGACATTTATCGTGATAATTATCGATATCGACTGATATGAAAAAAATTATCGTGATAATTTTTTTGGCCATATCGCCCAGCCCTAGACTAAGGGGACCATCAAAAAAAAAAAGTAAACATTGCCTTTTTTTTATTTGAAAGTATTACACCTGATCTTAAACTAGCTCACAGCAAAATTAACATTAACCTCATAGGAAACACTGGATTGGATAAGTTTGGTCTCGTACTGTATCGCGTACCTTGTATCATCCTACTACTTGTCCGCTTGATCCTATTCCATCTCATCTCCTTCAAGCCATTTCTCCTGCCGTTGTACCTACACTCACTCACATTAACACATCCCTTCACACTGGTGTTTTTCCCTCAACATTTAAACAGGCTCGTATAAACCCCACTTCTTAAGAAACCCACTCTTAACCCAACTCAGTATAGTTGTGTATATATATAGTATATATAGTATATATAGTACAGACCGGTTTCCCATCTACCTTTCATTGCAAAAACACTTGAACGTGTTGTGTTCAACCAAGTCTCTGCCTTTCTCACTCAGAACAACCTTCTGGACAGCAACCAATCTGGCTTCTGCCCGGTCCTGCAGATTTGCTTTATACAACATTAGGAAGATCAGGCCCTTTCTTTCAGAACATGCAACCTCCCTCCTTGTTCAAGCTCTTGTTCTATCCAGGCTGGACTATTGCAATGCTCTCTTGGCAGGTCTTCCAGCCACTTCTATCAAACCTCTACGATTAATCCAAAATGCCACTGCAAGATTAATCTTTAATGAGCCAAAAAGAATGCATGTCACCCCTCTGTTCATCAATTTGCACTGGCTTCCAGTAGCTGCTCGCATAAAATTGAAAGCATTAATGTTTGCCTACAAAACCATCACTGGCTCTGCACCCATTTACCTAAATTCATTACTTCAGAGTTATGTGCCCTCTGAAGTAATGAATTTAGGTAAATGGGTGCAGAGCCATTTACCTAATTTGATTGCTTCTATTGTCCTCATTTGTAAGTTGCTTTGGATAAAAGTGTCTGCTAAATGACTAAATGTAAATGTGATAATGGTTAATATGGTATTAATTATTTGTTATAAATAATCATACTCTTAAAAGTTATAACCACAAATGCTTAAGTATTACAATTATTATAATTGCTGTTATGATTATTTATGAGATGATACAACATATTATAAGGTCTTTTTATAATGCATTATGCATTCTTTATAATGTCTTAATTATACCCCTATAATGTATTATAAATACGGGCTTCATAGAAAGTGTTACCGACTTTATTTATTTATTTATTTTAGATTAGAATACAATCCAATAATTATCAATTATATATTACATAATCTTGATTTGTTTAGAATCTGACAAAAGCAATGACAAATTTTTTTTTATTTAAAGTGCCATGCCATTTGCTCAGGAATCAGACTAAATTGTTGAGCTGTATGGTTTTTGATTTATTAAAGGGTAAACCTATAACACTTTAGTTAATCTTTGAAGCACAAATTATATATTTTTAATAAAACCTGAGAGATTTCTGTCCCTCCATTGAATGCCTATTCCACCAAAGCTTCAAACGTTATAAAAGTAAAACACATGTATTCTCCTATAAAGAATACATTTATATCCTATAAAGCGTACTGTATCATTTGATATGCAAATTTCTCTTATTCGGCCAATCACAACGCATTGGATAGCTGACCAATCACAGCACACCTTGCTTTTTCAGACCGATGAGCTTTGTAAAAATCGACGCGTTTCAAAAAGGCGGGGCATAGAGGAGAAACAATAATGTACAGTATGTGGAAAATAATGTGTTTTTTAAACTTTAAACCGCATAAACACATTTCATTACACCAAATACACAAAATAATGTTCTTTTTAGCAGCATCATATGACCCCTTTAACATGAACAAGACTTTGCTGAAAAACTGCTGTACACAATTTACTGCATGCCTTCTGTTGTCTGATCATTTCTTTTTTAGCTGAAAGTTCTTTTAGTGTATTTCTATATACGTTCACCAGGGACACGTCTTTTTGCTGTGACATCTTTACTGATTTATATAATTTAAATGTAAGAATAAATTGTGTTGTTAGTAATATTTCAAGATGAACATTTACTTAAATGAAGCAATTTATTAATTTGATTTTTGAAAATGTATGAATAATCATGTTAAACATCCTACAGTCCTACAGCAACTCTGAAGCAGCTGCAGGAATTTGACAAAGTGGTCATTGTGTGCATGTGACAACAATATCACAAATGTGGCTTGTAGGGGAGGGTTGCAAGAAAAAAGCCACTCCTCAAGAAAAGCCACATGCCACATGACTGAGCTTTGCCAAAACACACCTTGAAGATTCTGAGGCAGATGAGACTAAAATTTAATTATTTGGAAATCCAATGCAGCTCACCATCCAAAACACAGCATTCCTACAGTAAAGCACGGAGGTGGTGATATCCTGTTATGAGGGTGTTTCTCTGCAGCAGGGACTGGAGCAATTGTGAGGATAGAAGGAAAAATGCATGGGGCAAAATACTGTCAAATTCTTGAGGAAAATCTGCTGCACTCTGCCAGAAAGTTGTCAATGGGAAGAAGATTTGCCTTCCAACACGACAGTGACCAAAAGCACACAGCAAAACTGAGCACACAGTGGTTGAAGGAGAAAAAGGTGAATGTACTTGCATGGTCTAGTCAGAGCCCAGACTCGAACCCCACTGAAAATCTGTGGATTGACTTGAAGACTGCAGTCCACAAACGGTCACCATCAAATTGAACTGAACTTGAGCAGTTCTGTAAAGAAGAGTGAGCAAATATTGCAAAGTCTAGATGTGCAAAGTTAGTAGAGACGGAGACAAATCCCAACAGACTAAAGGCTGTAATTAAAGCAAAAGGTGGTTCAACTAAATACTGACACAAGGGGGTGGTCCTTTTTCCAACTCCGTGATTGTTTTTTTTTTTTCTGACACGTTGGTGTTATATGTTATATCTTTCATTTAGATGTTATAAGCTGCACTGGGTAAATACAAAAATATGGATGAAACAAAAACTGTGTCCATCTTCATTTCAGGCTGCAAAGCAACAAAAATGTGATTATTTTAAAGGGGGGTGATTCTTTTCTATACCCATGTTAGTAGTCTGCTATACTATTATAAAGATCTCATTGATTTACTTTACAAGCTATCAGAATTTTATCTTATTGGCCATATTTTGGCATATTTTTGCTCATATTAAAATCCTTATCAAATATGATACTTGGCAAAAAACACATTCCATATGTCAGGTTTTACAGGGTTAATAATCGTGCGAAGAAACTAATTTAGGCTTTTATTTACATATAAACATTGATCAAAGCACATACATAGAGCACATTAAATATAGTAAATGGAAGCTCAAATGTGCCTGATTGCCATGCAGGAACAAAGCTTATTGGAACTTCATTCTGTTTTCTCACCTGTGGCTGTTGTTTGTCTGGTGTCTGGTACATAACAGGGTTTTAAGGAATAGTTGTTGTTTTTTTTTTGACACTTAAATTTAGCATTTAGCTACATTTTCCACCATTACGCCAAAACCCTAGCTCTACCAATTCTGGACTACAAAACAAGGTGTAACCACCATCACTAATGTACAGTCCAAACAAAAGGTGCTGAATCGGCAGACAAACACGTCTCTAGCGTTACCTTATCTGGTGCTGGCGCATCTGACATGGTACAAAATCTTCTTTTCTCTGCAAACAATATCTGTATTACTTGAATGCCTGCCATAAAGAAAGGCCACAGTTGGTCAACAGTGGATTTTTATTGTATTGAACAGGCTGTATTTAGACTCTTCTGGCCAAGAGTCTAAATACAGCCTGTTAGTGTGTGGGTACCAATACCTGTTCTGCTGCAAAACTAAATGGCTGTTCTGACTTGGTCACATTGATCAAGGAATTACTCTATTTATCGATCTAAATTTGATCAGCCCTTTACCTTTTTTTTTTTTTTTTACACATTCATCTCTCTTATCATTGGTGCCTTGATCTATAAAGGCTGGCTGCTACATCTTAAAATAGTGGACCTATAAGACCTTACTTAAAGAGCTTTTACAAAAATAGGGCTTTTTTGTGATTCTTAAATGAGGTAATCCGCGTTTGATTGTTGCCTGTATCTTTTTCCTGCCTTACTATCTTTGTAATATTACTGATTTATTGTTGAATTGTTAAACTGTTTTTGTTCTGTGGCTTTTCTTTCTTGTGTGTGTGTTTTTATTTATTTATTTTTAATGAAACGTACTGAAGGACATTCTGAATCTAATGGCTGCTCTTTTTTTCAGATGAGACTATGGTGATTAATGTGTTTTGTGGTGTGGTGTCTGGAGTTTTGTCGTCCTCTTTGGCAAATCCAACTGATGTGCTAAAGGTAATTAAAATCAAATCTTCATCTCCTTAAAAACCAATTACTACAAATGTTAGCATAATTCCGAACGCTTTAGATCTACATATAAATCATCTCTAAAAGGGGTCATATGAAGTTGCTAAAAAGAACATTATTTTGTGTATTTGGTGTAATGAAGATCAGCTCTAGGCATGACGAAGCGGATATCGTCCTCTTTTGGAAGGCCAAACAAAGTAGTTTTGCTTTCACAACGAAACGCACATTGCCTTCACGACATGGCGGCGGCACCAACAATACAACAGCGAGAATAAAAGTTATGCCTTCTTTCTTTGCGTGAACATTTGGGAGGCGTTATGAAAATCTTCCCACATCGTGACGTAGACATGTGTTAGAACGAGCCGTTTTAGGTAGGCGTGGTTGACTCTTAACTTTTATAAAGAATATCTCTTTGGATTTGAGACTTTAGTCTTTGCAACTTTACAGATCTTTATGCACCAAGAGCTTGTAACACTCCAAAGAGAAATGGAAAAATTGAAATTGCATAATTTGACCCCTTTAAAACATATGTTTTCTCAGGGTTATGAGAGGGGGAGGGGAGGGGATCTTATTTAAAGTCATGATGAATAAAGAATAAATTCATTTTTTCGCCCTGGTTTAATAAGGTACACTTGTAAGAAAATAGCAGTGGCTGGGACCGACTTTCAGTATCACCTTCACTTAAAACGATACAAACTAATCCTGTTTACATGAAATAAGTCTGCTCCTGAGCAGGTTTGAGCTAATGGACCTGTTGCTATGACAGCAACTCCAGGATGAGCTTCAAAGAACCAAACAATCCTGCATAATGTCAAATCATCAGCAATAAAATTCAGCTAACTGAGTAATCCACGTACAAAGACCAGACCCCTGAGCAGCAGATATGCTAAGATGCTTTTTTACCTTGCTGTGTCGGGAGAGTGCTGCAGGTGCGAGTGGTGAAAACACGGAAGGAGTTTAGTTTATATGGACTCTGAATGAGCCAAGTAGAGTGGATTTGAGGAGGCAGCAGTGTGGATCTTAAGGCTTTAGCTAAAATGCAGAATGGAGTTTAATTTATTTGGGCATTCCTCAAGTGGAATGGATTTGACCGATGGCGCTCTGAAAAGTGAACAGAACAGTAAACTGAATTAGAGATGGTAAAAGTGAGTGGGTCGAATATCATTGGTCTTAAAAACCACATACAATGGTTCCGATGCCCATACTTTAGTATGTATGCTCGTGGCACTGTGTGCGCACTTGCATTAAATATGTTTCTGGCCTTTGGCTTTAACGTCACTTTTAGTTTTTACAACACCGATCTCACCCAAATTAGTTTTTTCTTATGTCCTGTTATTTCCTTCTGCTTTCCAGATTCGCATGCAGGCTCAAGGCAGCCTGTTACAGGGAAGCATGATGTCTAATTTCATCAACATTTATCAGACTGAAGGCACGCGAGGCCTGTGGAGGGTGAGTGCTTTCGTTAATTATCTCATCTTACACATCGGTGGTGAGATTTGAAAATATGTGGCCATCAGTTGTTTGAATGATTCATTAGCATTCCAGCTTTTTAAATGCAACACATTATAGGTTTTGCTTTAATACTGTGATGTCTTCATTGTTTTCAGGGTGTAATTCCTACCGCACAGAGGGCGGCCATCGTGGTGGGTGTAGAGCTGCCAGTCTATGACATCACCAAGAAGCATTTGATTCTTTCAGGCCTCATGGGAGACACAGTGTTCACTCATTTCATGTGAGCATCTCTACCAGTACTTGTTTTGTTGATTCAAAATTTGATTTATTAATGAGGCACAAACGTTGACTTCACGAGGAACGCAATCCATATTTTTTCTTCTGTTTATTTAGTTCCAGTTTCGCGTGTGGTCTGGCAGGTGCTTTAGCCTCCAACCCAGTGGATGTGGTGAGGACACGTATGATGAATCAACGTGTGCTCGCAGGTAACCCTCTGTACAAGGGTACCCTGGACGGACTCATGCAGACCTGGAAAAACGAAGGATTTTTTGCTCTCTATAAAGGCTTCTGGCCCAACTGGCTGCGTCTAGGGCCCTGGAACATAATTGTATCCTTTGACAATATAATATGTTTTGATTTAATTTTCATATTTTGACTTAAAAAATGTCCTTGGTTTTGTAATGTTTGCATAGTCCAACCACTAGAGGTCAGCATATTACTACATGAAGTTGTATAGCATGTCAAATTTGCCTCTCTTTGGGTGTGAGCAAAAACATTTTTTTAAATGCTTTGTTTAACTTAAAATGCAAATTAGCTGCTGCTCTTCTGGAAAGTGGGCGGAGCCTTTACAACTTGCACTTCAGATAGTCCGTCAACAACAACAATCTCACACAGCCAGAATGTCAAAAATTATTTATAAAATGTGCAGACAGTGATGACGTTTTTGGAATAATTTAAAACTAATGACATAGCTCTGTGAGTAGAGGCAGAGACAGTGGTATTTAGCCACATTAGCTGTTCAGCATTAGCACATCCGGAAATGTGATTTGGAAATATTCCGAAAATATAAAGCGATTCTTTCTTGTTCTCGATATGATGTTGGAGCATGAACATATAGTCAATACTATACAGGGTCTGTTATGGTCGTCTTGTGATCCTTGACTTAAGTTTCAGTTCTTCATCACCTTTGAGCAGCTGAAGAAGCTTTCATTGTAGAGTTTGTGACTTCCCTGAGCTGTGTGTAGGTGTCTGGGGCTTCTGTCCTTCAGCATTTACCATCCCTTCTCCGTCACGCACCTATGAGTATTTTTATTTAAGAACGAACATGTATTTTGTTCTCATTTGCATTGTACATACTTGACCTATTTAAACACACTTGTTTTTGCACCTAAATGCTTTGTGTTTCACTCCTGGCAGCTATGTTGTCCGTCACCGCCATGTTCTCAGGCCCAGTGGTGTTTTCATCATATATGCTTGGTCAGCTAGGAGCAGCACTGGTGTAAATTTGAGGTAAAGGGCTAAAGCGAAAACTGGAAACCACGAGGCATAGTTTCTCCACACTGGCTTGAGAGTTTGAAATTATAGCATAAGTTACTAAAAACACATCCGCCATGTGGGGGATGTAAAGCAATAGTTTAGTGTAGAACTGAATGTAGTTGGTGAATATAAGCAGGAATATTATAATATACAGGTCCACGCACTCTAAATTAGACATTGTCCTTGTAATTTAATATGTAAACACGGCTTGTGCAGTGATAATGTATTTTGCTTCATCTGTAGACTGCAGATATGATAGAAATTGCCCACGTTGCATACTTGTATGCAGTCCAAATTAATACCAAAGGAACTAGTAAAGGGAGATGTGGCCTCATATCTTGGATCTTTGAGCTCAGTGGGACTTATTCATAAAACATGAGCCAATTTCAGTGTAGCCTAAGTCTGTTCTTGCGCAAGTTGTCGCATTTAATTCAAAATTGCTCCGAAATTGTTACGCTTGTTTCATAAGGCCCAATGTGCCCAAAAAGCTTATTTTATCCCATATTATGTCAAGGTCCTCTGAAAAGCTCCATGAAAGTGGGTTAGAAGTTTATGCCTGAACATGCATAGAATTCTAAGCACTTGTGACATTGCACAAGTTTTTATTTTACTTTTTTCAGTGACGTCTTTATTGCCATGTACATTTGCATGAGTGTGTAGTGTGTGTGTGTTTGTGTTCTGAGAAGCACATGTAAAATGTCAAATATTTTGGCAGCCGTCAAAATGTGTAAATACGGCTACTGTACGATAGAATAAAATATTAGCACATAGTTTTTTGTTTTTTTTTTGTTAATTTTCAACCAGATTTTGTGGAAAAGGGTGTCATTTGCATTTTTATTGCTTGCCTCTTTGCCAAAGTGTACGTGTATTAAACCAGAACTGCACTGATGTTGCTGGTTTTGAAAAGTGACGCATTATTATTGTTATTATTGGGAAAGTACTGTTACATATTCATCATTGTATGTCATCATATTTCAAGCCTTACCACTTCCTGCTTTTATATTTATGCCTTGGCCTGATTTTATGGTGTGCTAGCTAAACATGAAGTGTTGTACTTCTGCTATAATTTACTGTCTATATTGTTCATAACCTTTAACATGCAAATCAAACTGTATTGCAAACATTCTTAAGTTATATGGACAAGCTGTTCTTCATATGACTTTAAGGGGACAAGTTTAAAAGGTTTAATGTATGTAATGCTTGGGTTATTCAGGGGTTTTCATGTTCGTTATACTTGCTTTTTCCCAAACTTTTGCTGTTGCTAGAATGGAGACTACAGCATGGTGCATGATATATTCCTCTCTAATAGAACTTTTGAAAATGCTTATTTTATTATGTAGCAAAGACCAAGAACCACATTAACCCATGTGCCAGTGTTTTTACTTTAGTTTACTGTTAGTCACTCACGGATCATAAGGATGAGAACCTCTTATGCTATATGTTATGCTCCCTCAGTTGTTTTTGTTTTTGCTCAATTATAATTTTTTTAAATACTGTTTTATTTACACTTTTACTATATGAAAGGTTCTTTCGTGTAGAGGTACTTTAAATTTGTGGGGTGTTCGTTTGGATGTATAATTGAAATCAGGATGAATTTTCTGACAATACTGTTGTACAATGAGGGAAATTGTAGAATTTATTACCCAAATACATTTGATAAATGAGAGATAATGAAAATGTGCAGAATTAAAATGGGCATACACACACACCTATTTGGAAATCGAGTATTGAACAGTAAATAATATATCATGTAATGGCTTTAATCCCCAGCACAGCCATTTTGTTTTATTTCCCAACTTGCAGCAAACCCATTAATACATTATATAATTGCTTGCAATTGCCAATTTCTTTGTGATCCACTCTTTTGGTTAAGTGTCTTTGGTGTGAACAAACATTATTTATTATGATCTGTTGCTTGAATAGACAATGAATTGGATCAAGAATGCCTTTTTTCTTTTGTGGAAGGTTTTTTTCTTTTTTGGGGCTGTTTTTTTTGTCTAATGTAACCGTGCACCCTGACAATAAATACAATGTTCACTGAAAGTTGCTTGTTATAGGTCCCATTTAGTCCCATTGAGGCGTAGGAGCAAACAAAGGCATGACTTGTTCAACAACAACATCACACGATTCTTTAATGCATGAGTTGTTAATGCAGTTTGAAGTCACAGGCATTGGATTAAACAAAAGTGTGATTCATTTTAATGATAATATAACATCATTCTGCAAACAGGCAATTGAAGAAACAATGCACTTACATGCTAAGGGTTTAGCCTGCTCCTGCGTTCACAAATCATTTTATCTTACCAATCACTAAGAGTTCTCATAAATAGTAGAATAAATCCTTAGGTAAGCGTTTCCTCTTAAAACCTGTTCACAAAGCTGCTGAGACCAACTTTTACTAAGGAATGGGGAGAATTCTTAAGCTAAGAAAGGGCAGTGTTGCCAACTAATTTTCAGGGGAAGTTGCTAAAGGAAGGTTGATTTGTTGCTAAATGACGCGATGTCATTGCGCGGTGACGTCATTGCGTAATCACGATGCAAAATTGTGTCACTGCATCAAATCAAATGCATCAAAAAATAAAATGTATATATGTTAAGTTAGATGTGTTTATAAAATAATATAAATGCATAATATAATATTAAAATATAATGTATATAAATACAACATTGAATTATTAAACACTTTCACATTTTTTAACAATTACAATTTGTTTATTTTTATTAGCTAGTAAACTAGTAAAACTACTCATTCTGAACAGTTATAGTTTTAAGCAGTGTTTTAGTAGTTCGTATGCTACACTCTAAGAAAAGTCTGTAAAAATAGGGCAAAATTTAGCAAAACTCGTTTATATTTATGCATTTGACAGACACGTTGGAAAGTGGTTTATAGCGCATATTCACTTTATGAGCATATGCGTTCTCTGGGATCGAACCCACATCGCATGATCACATGATTGCATATCATTGTATAACGCAATGCTCTACCAATTGAGCTACACGAAACCCGAATTATGACACAGATAAAATGATACAATGCATTAAAACGAAAGTGTCCTGTTAACTATAGGGGCGCAACTGTAGTAAACGCTCCTATGGGTCGTATTTCAGGAAAATGACAAACGACCTATTCGGGTGTATAGGTTGGAGGACATGATGCAAAACTGTGTCACTGCATCAAATCTCAGCAAAAAATATATTTTGTATACGTTAATTTTAATTTGTTAAAAAAAATTGTTTGTGAAATAATATAAATGCCTTATATAATAATATGAAAATATGAATAACTGTATTTTTAAATACAACATTGAATTATTGAACACTTACACATTTTTAAACAATTACAATTTAAGTTTTTTTTTTACTAGCTAGTAAACTTGTAAAACTACACGCTCTGAACAATTATACTTTTAAGCAGTGTATTAGTAGTTAGTTTGTATGCTACACTCTAAGAAAAGCCTGTAAAAATAGTCTACTATGTTAATATGATTTTTCACAGGTTTTTTTTACCTGTATTTTAAATTACGCATTGTATTTTGTGTTTTCGGGTTATAGAGTTACAACGGATAATGGATAATGGATAATGTCCTGGAAAATTACTAGTACCCTTTCCATTTTTCTAGATATTTTTCTTATAGTGTACTAACTGAACAACAATCACAGGTACAAGCTACTAAAAAGGTGTATCACAATAGGTGTGTTCGTCTTGAAGCGGCGCTGCGCAGTTCGATCAGTGTTTGACATCAAAGCACCGCGAGAGCAATTAGAAAGCATGCAGATCCGTTGAATTATTGTTGAACAATTGCAAATAGCATTTAACTTAAGTCACGTGATGTGTGTACTACTAGGCATCTTTGGTTTTCCTCTTTTTGTGTAATTTAGATGGAAAATGTGTGCCTTTTTTATCGTTTGAGTCACTTATCAAAAGTTGCTAAATGTTGCCAAATAATTTTTTTAAAATAGCGAAATTTGTTGCTAGGTGCTTTTGGAAGAAAAAGTTGCTAGGGTAGTCTGAAAAGTTGCTAAATCTAGCAACAAAATTGCTAAATTGGCAACACTGAGAAAGGGTGGAGTTGACCTAGTTGCTATGGATGATGTCAACAAGCTTACTATTTCCACAGTGATTGGCTGATAGGGGATGGGTCTCTGTCAGTGATTTAATCAGAAATATTGTAGACCAAGGTGTCATGTTGCTATATTCAAATAAAGATTTTAAAATAAAAATGTTGCCATATTCAGATAAAGTTTTTTTTTTTTTTTTGTAGGTGAAATGTCACTACTTAAATATATGTTCAGCTAATTGTCAGCCTCTTACATGTCTGCATTTCGGAAACAATACACAGATATGCATATAGGCAGCCTTTTAATTAACAGACTAGAATAATCATGGCTGATAGTAAGACGTGCAAACGTAAAAGAAATCTGAACTGGATGCAATAACAGCTGTTACTTCTTGCCCAACTTATACATGAAAAGAAGAACATAAATTTAAAGGAAATTATCATAAAATGTTTCTAGAATGTTTATGTTCCGAGGCTTTTAGGGTTTCACATTGCATGACTTCACAATAGGAAGAATCGCCGACAGCTCTGTCTGGTCCGCAAACTACGTTTCACAACAAAACGTATATATCTGTGGGGTTGCTGTTTATATGACATTGCAGATAAAATACTTTCATTTATTCAGGCCTCCGCATAGTCATCTGGCATCTGTAGTTGTTATTTTCCATAGTTGTTAACTTAATTTGTTAACTTAGTAAGTTTGTTTCCATGGATTACCCTTGATTGTAGATAGATCTATCAGATGTATGTAGGTAATGCAAGATTATAATATACTGTATTGATAAACTACTGTTTTTTCCCCCTTGAACTTATTAGCATGCGATAATACTGTGACATCCATGCATTTTGTGGCAGTTTTAAAGTAATAGTGTAAAATCTTCATATGACTGTTGACCCTTATAAGACAATTCTTAACTGGCGTGATCTCTCTCTTTGCTGAAAAGTGACATTCTTATTATAACCATATCTAACTGGCAAGCTGCTTAACAGACTTGGTAAGCATGAGAGTTTTCTTTCAAAAGCCATTAAAATAGTGATGTTTACCATCTTTGGACTGGCACTGTATATTGTAAAGTAAAAAAAAAATTTACGAACTACTTGATTATTGTAAACCACTAGTTAACAAACTGCAGTTAATACATTAATCGACTTTATACAAACACTGATTTCGTAAGTCATTGTCACTGTAATCAACACTGTTAGTAACACTTTATAATAAGGTTCCATTACTTAACACTAACTACGATTGATAAATGATGTAGAAGTATTGTCCATTCTTAGTTAATGTTAACTAAATTAGTTAACCTATGTTCATTTCAACATTTACTAATGCATAATCACAATACAAATTTGTGCTTGTTAACATTAGTTAATGCACTGTAAATTTACATGGACTGATCATGACAATAACATTAACAAAGATTAATAATTACTGAAATAACTGTTTTGTTCATTGTTTCATCACTGTAGTTAATACATTAATACATTAACTAACATTAACAAATGTAACCTTATTGTAAATTGTTACCACAATTTCTTATTGTTTAATTACCTCATTTATAAATAGTTACATAATGCTTTAACAACTTATTAACCATACATGGTTTTTAATTTAGATTAGATCAAGGAATATTAGAAAATGTCATTAATTAAGTGTTTTGCAAAATGTACAATTCAATGTTGTAAACCTTATAATGAACAGTGAAATGAAGGTCCAATAAAGGCTGTTTTAGGCACTTAGTTCATGACATTTCCAGATTTTACTTGACCTAATCTAAATGGAGAACTACTTATCATTAATAAGTTATTAACTAACCATTAACTAATTCAATACATATGAGGTAATTAAGCAGTAACATTTCATTAATTAGGGGCCAAGCACAAGTTCAAAAAAGTAGGTTTTCAACATAAATCAAAATGAAAAAAAAAAAAAACATAAATCAAAATGGCGGACAGGAAGTTCGGCCAATTATGGTATAATTGGTATCGATGTTCTCAGCATGATCCAAGGAATCTATCAACATCAGTCTCATTTCAATAGGCTAATGTAAGCAAAAGTCATTAGCCTTTTTCGAAATTTCATTATATCTTTTATAATAGCCTGCAAACTTTTTGAGAACCAACAGGGCATGGTGCTGAGGAAGCATACCAAGTTTCGTAATGATACTTCAATGCGTTCGTAAAATATAGCATTTTAAGACAAAATTCAAAATGGCCGACGCCTAAAATGGCTGACATGGGAAAATTGTTTCATTCGACTAGGCATGATGCACCGAATCTAAAGAGACTGGTTTTGTGATTTTTGGCCAAACCATTCAGAAGTTATAAGCAAAAATATGCATTTTTCAAATCTCCTGACCACTAGGTGGCACAGCGCCAAAAC